AAGGCGTCTGACTTTGTGTCAACGGCTTCTAAGTTGTATTCATTGATGTATAGCTTGGCGTTAGGGTCGGCCGCGTGTGCCGTACGGAAGGCCTCCTCAATGAAACTGTAGTTAAAAGTTCGCGAGAATATGCTGTCCCTTAGTTTGCCGGACACCTCATCGATCATCTCATTGACGACATCCCACGCGTAGATCTTACCTATGAATTGAAACATATTTTTATTATTAATTACTTTTAGTTTATAAAACTTTTCGTTAATACCATAAAACAGAAATAAATAATAATTAATTGTAAATAATTTTAAATCATTGTGTATGATTTTGAAAAGTAGAACTAATACTAGTTTATCAGTAACAAGTTGAATTTAGTTAAAAATTAAATTGAAATAAATTAATAAAACAATTTTTATCTATACCTTTAAAATGTCCAACCACTGTAGTAATATGGTCCTTGATCACTTGCTCGAGCTCAGCCTTTTTGCCCTCCAGTCCCGCAATCCATTCGGGCAACTGTTCGTGCCATATGAGGCAACATCCCCTGATCTTCATATTGTGTTGCTCTGCATACGCAACCGATTTGTCGGCGTTTTCCCAGTTGTACTGCCCTTTGCTGGCCTCCAGAGGCCCCCATTTCATCTCATTCCCGGGTGTAATGCAATTGAACTCCTGGCCCAGTAATTCCACGTATTTCTGGTCGCTGAGGGCACCGGACTCAAACGCCGATCCGATGTACTTCTGTTTGGCATGATCTCGGAGGTGACCCTCGCCCGAGCTGCCGGTGCCCAACATATTCATGAAAAATAAGATTTAATATCAAAAAATATAAGTTATGTAAAAATATTTGTCAAATACTTACACAATAAGTACCGCCATTAAAATGATTGACGTGGACAGCATTTTCATGTGCTTTATATTAATATATTATACAGTTTATAAAAAAAGTTAAATGTCTAAAACAATTAGTTAATGAATTCACACAAGTATTAATTGAGCATTTTATGACAGTATGTTTCAATAATTTCTCAGATACTTATTACAGTGTGCTTGTTAAATATCTCAACAACACTTTTATATATAAAATATAGATGAAATATAAATTTATCTAAAATATATTTGATAACATTGACCATACTTTGTAATAAATTATTAATCAATTAATAAGGAAGTGTTTCAAATTATCTACTGGATTAATGTTCAACAATAGTAACTAATTATAAGACAATTACTTTACCAGTATTTTAAACGTGAGTGCAAGTGTACACAAATGTTAAATATAATATTGATAAATAAATAATATATTTGATAAATAATGAAAACATTGTTAGCTCTCAATTAACTCGTTGCTAACAACTTACTAAACAAACCAGAGGTACCGACTTCTGCCGACGACTAGTACCGCGTGCACCGCTAGCACGGCATGCACCCCATGCACCGCTGTACCCCTTGCATCTCGTGTACAAAATATCAATCTTAAAATAATTAACTTTGTAAAATAAAATTAATTAACTAAGAGCCATAAGTAAAATATAATTTTAATTAAAATGAAAATAACGCAATTATATTATATTAATTCTTTATAATATTCATATTATATCCCGTAAGTTCATTTATTGCTCGTTATATTTTAAATAGTTATAAATTTTAATATTAGCTTTACAAACTTAAAAATTAATTTTATAAAAATTAATATAATAAAATAACATTCTCATTGAAAATATAATGTGTTGGCTGTTTTTATAAAAACTAAATGAATATAATGAAATAAAGAGGTGCTAGGGGTGCAAGAGGTACTAGCAGTGCAAGCGGTGCATGCGGTGCACGCGGTACTAGCGGTGCAAAGAAGTCGGTGCAAGCGGTGCAGGCGGTGCAAAGAAGTCAGAACCCAAACCAGACTTTGATACATTCTAACCGTAAATACCGTAAAAATCTTAAGCTTTATTCTCTACATAATTGTATCAAATGTTAAATCTAAGGTTATATGGCATCTCTTAATTGCTATATTTCTCACATAACTATTGATTATAAAGTTTTTACATTTTATTTCGTAACATATGAGTGGATATCAGTTTGTTATTGATTAAACTCCAAAATTGATATTACTTTTAATAAAACAAAATATTACCGGTATTTAACTATTTTCTTTATAAAATTAATTGAATATTATTATTCATTTAAAAACAGATAAATCAAGTCAAGATTTTATACAAAATAATTAATTATTTGCAATTGACAAAGGTGCATTCATTTCAAAACTTTAGCGACAGCGTCTACAGCAGGTTTGGGTTTATAATCCTCAGTCCATAACTCCGGTTCCCCATAACCCTTTTCTTGCAACCAAGCGTGTTTATCGGTAAAGCCCCAAACGGTTACCCCGACACACCTGTCCACATTCATACAGGCGCTAAAGGCATGACTATAATCCTGTGCCTGTTTAGCGATCTTATCGGCTGACCCAGGTAGCTGATACCTGATCTGCAGCTCAGTGATGGCTACATCGAGTTCCAAATCGGAGAAGCGTTTAAGATTATCTTGAAAAGTTGAGGGAATTTCATTCTCCCTGAAGTGCCCCTGCAAACCCACCCCATGAACGGGCACTCCCTTACCCTTCAACTCCTTGACCAACGCGTATAAGGCGTCTGACTTTGTGTCAACGGCTTCTAAGTTGTATTCATTGATGTATAGCTTGGCGTTAGGGTCGGCCGCGTGTGCCGTACGGAAGGCCTCCTCAATGAAACTGTAGTTAAAAGTTCGCGACCATATGCTGTCCCTTAGTTCGCCGGACACTTCATCGATCACTTCATTGACCACAACCCAAGAGTACATCTTACCTATGAATTGAAACATATTTTTATTATTAATTACTTTTAGTTTCTAAAACTATTCATTATATACAATAAAAATATAAATAAATAATAATTAATTGTGAATAATTTTAAATCATCCTGGAATGATAAGGCTAATTATTAACAGTAACTTATCAGTAACATTTTGTGTTTTTATTAAGATTTTAAGAATAAATTAAAATAAATAAATATTTTTTTAAATCATACCATTGAAATGTTCAGCTACTGTATTAATATGATCCTTGATCACTTTTTCGAGCTCAGCCTTTTTGCCCTCCAGTCCCGCGATATATGAGGGCAGCTGTTCGTGCCATATGAGGGTATGTCCCCTGATCTTCATATTGTGTTGCTCTGCATACGCAACCAATTTGTCGGCGTTTCCCCAGTTGTACTGCCCTTTGCTGGCCTCCAGAGACCCCCATTTCATC